GTGGCAGCATCATGTTGTGGAGGTGTTCTGCTGCAGGAGGGACTGGTGCACGTCACAAAATAGATGGCATCATGAGGAAAGAACATTATGTGAAAATACTGAAGCAACATCTCAGGACATCAGCCAGGAAGTTACAGCTTGGGTGCAAATGGGTCTCCCAAATGGACAGTGTTCGTAAGCATACCACCAAATTAGTTACAAAGTGGCTTCGGGACAACAAAGTCAGTGTTTTGGAGTGGCCACCACAAAGCCCTGATCTCAATCCTGTAGAACATTTGTGGGCAGAACTGAAAAGGTGTGTGGAGCAAGGAGTATTACAAACCTGACCCAGTTCCACCAGTTCTGTTGGAGGAATGGGCCTGAATTTTCAGAAAATTATTGTGAGACGCTTGTGGAAAGAAATCCAAAACATTTGACCCAAGTCATACAGTTTAAAGGCAATGCTACCAAATACTAAGGAGATGTAGGTAAACTACTGACTTTGAAGAAAGTAATAAAAAATTCTCCAAAAAATTCTTTCTCTCATTATTCTGGTGTTTAACAAATAAAGATAATTTTGGTAATTCTAACTGACCGTTAAAAGTTTTGTCACATTTATTGTTAGATAGTGAGAAAAATACAAAACAGTTATGTGTCTTTTTAAACACTGTATGTAAACTTTGTGGTTTCAACTGTATATTTAAAAGTCCTGCTCTCTGACTTTAAGGCCATGTGAAACCATTTACATTTAAACAAACTCCAAATGTTTGGCTACACTAGTTGGAAACTGTTGACATTTAAATAATAATTATGTTTTTAGTTTCCCTTTGTACTGCAGGTTATTGTTAAGATTACACCACATGATAATGTTCAGGGGCAGCACATGTAGCTGAATGTGCATCACACCTGAGCAGAACATGCCGCGGACTCAAACTCTGTCTGTTATGATAAGTCGCTAACTGCTTTGTGAAATATACAAATATACAATATGTGTACATATAAACAATTTTGGCCGATTTATTGATTTCACAGTTTCTTACTCCTTAAAATCGAAAACAGCCCTAAGATTCCACTACAGGCTGTAATTATAAGTGCAGAAAAGAGTACGTATGGCATATCCCTTTCCTCCTTTTTACCTAAATTACATTTCTCCTTTGTCTTTTGTTGTATTTCTTTTGTTTTACTCCAACGTACCTTCCTGCTACTATTCTGCATTGTGTGAGTCTAACTTTTAAAACATTTAATGTTAGAGTTAAGCTTTAACTGTACAAAGGTATTTAAGCTCCACTATTATTTATGTTGTAACCTGACAAATGGCAGATTTGCTCAAAAAATGCTGGCTTTGCTGAATCATTTCTAATTAAAAAACAAAACAAAACATAATTTCATTAATGTTCTTTTAACTGTTTTACTGTCTTTCCATTTTGATTGCTAATTTCCGATGGCGTTTAATTGTGAGTGCTGCTCTTTAAACATGTCGACCTCCTATGGTTTCCAAAGCTATAAACAGTAAAGGCTGAATTGTGTTCCAATCTCATGAATAATATTTTAATATTTAAGTGTTATTGTGTGCTTGTTGCACATATTTAAAAAAATAAAAAAAAACTCATTTGCACTTAATTAGCTTTCGTCCCCTGGGATTGTGAAAATTAACGACAGGAGCCAGCAGCTTGTCAGTGACTAACAGGCTACATTCTGTGTAAGTTGAAAGTACGTATGAAATTGTAGCAGTTCATAAGTGGATAATGAATAAGCAGATATACAGCAAATATCAGAATCTGACAGACGCATGACTTTTCACACATTTGTGCTCATGCCAGCTACACACACACACAGTGCCCCACCCTTGGCCTGGATAACATGACCACACACTAGCTTACTACGGCTCTGCTAATAGGGGTGAGAGATTTGCTAGGGGGGGAATGGGGGATGGCTTTTTTTTTTTTTTTTCTAGGGGAATCCTTGCAAAGATTCACAATATCCCCCTGGCTAGTCGTGTTCCTGTCTATGCTTCCAGCAAGGCGTTGACCCCACCTCCCGTCTCCTGCTGCATCCCTTCCTCACTAGAGATTCCTTCACACGGGGTGCCATGATGCCGATAGGAAAAATCAGCAGATGGTGAAACACTTTCTTAGGGCATTTCAGGCACTGTTGGTTTCTAACATCATTTGTCTGGCATCTTGAATTTTCGTCTCAGATGAGATGGACTGTGTACACGAATTCAAGTGCTTGTTAGTAATCTCAAATAAATGTGCTTGCATGTTTTTCATCCAAGCATATTCGGCTCGAAATCCTGCAGCCACTGCCTGAGCTTATGACCAACAGAAGGAGCCAAAGAACCTCACAGTAAGCTTATTAATGTATCCTGGTCGCTCTCCAGTATGGGCTTGCTAGTTGCCATAGCAACCAGGCCTTAGATATTGTTCAGTAGGAGAGTGATGATGGAGAATAAATATAAACATCACCCTGTAACCCTGTCAAGTACTTTTTATGTAAACCGGCCGATCACTCACTACTCACTTCTCATTATGCCTGCTTACAGTATATTTTTTATTTTGCATTAGAAAAAGCCGTATAAAAAGATCCTGGCTTTCTTCTGTAAACAGCACATTTATTATTCTCTGAGATCACTTGCTCGAGTTTGATCTTGCAGTCTTTAGGTACGAAATGATGCATCTGCATGCGAAGCTCAGCACTGAAAATCAAAACTCCAGTGCCCATCACCCAGCGCCTGCAGAAATCAACAGGCGACAGTGCGCTCCATCTTAAGTGCTGATGTGTGTTCACGCCCAGTCAAGCTGAGGGGAATCAAAAGACACTGAAAGATTAAGGAGGTCAGGTTTTCAGCTCCACTGAGGAAGGCAGGGAAAGAGGCTTTACCAGCCATTGACTGCCATAGAAACAGGATAGGCTGCTGTCACGGAGACCATGAGATGTTTTATGGCTGAATGGAGGTTTGGTTCAAATATCAGATTTAGACATTGACTCTTCCACAATGGTTGACAGATAGATTTTTTTTAAATCATGTGTTATTTTTCAGCATTTTGTTTGCACTTTATTAGTAGCTATTGTATTTTGCAGTTGACCCACACTGTTCAACCGTTTGACTTCAATTCTAGTGTATTGCTATGGCAGCAATAAATCTTAGAGTCATCTGTGGCTAATAGTCTGTTGAGGTTGTGGAGATCATATCATCACAGCATTGTCCTATCTCCCTACTGAAAGCCCAAGCTCTCAGACCACATGAGAAGCTAGGCAGTCAGCCAGAAACACTTATCATCCTGTCATCCGTTTTTCACTAGCTTCACAGCTCAATTGTACTGTACACTAAGCGTCCAGGAGAGCTTGGAGATTTGGGACCAACAGAGTGATCTCAGTCTAAGGGAGTCTGAATAGGTTTGGCAGCAGAAAAACCTTTAATAATGTGTTTCAATAAATATACAAAAATAAACACAGAAAGGAAGCCAAGATCATTTTTGCCAAGATTCATGTTTGTTAAGCAGCCACCATGTCATGTATGCATGGCTTGTCAGAAATGAAAGTTTGGTTATAAAGCGTGTATTAATAAAGTTGGTAGCTCTGTTCAGTTCAAAGGTAGACTTAGACTGTCTTTATTTGTCATTGCAGAGTCACACGGTACAGTGCACATCAGAATGAAACGAACAGAGACAGAATAGGGAAATATATATGTAGAAATAAAAAATAGGTTAACAAAAATAGGTGTAAAAAAACAAACAAACAAAAAACTATATTGGTTAATATTTGATTTCATAAATACAACAAATGTTTTATACACCACTGGCTGTCACCTAAACAAATGACAGTATTTATTTGACACCATCAGACTATAAATGCTGATGGCCAAGCCAGGTTCGCACCAAACATCATGGATGAGGTGTTACCATATAGATTATGTGTATGTGTGTCCCCATTTCTGCACATTTTAATTGCCTTTTGAGGGACCAAACAAGATCTAAAACCATACAATTTAGTTCAACTTCAACCAAAAGAATTACTTAATAGTTGGCTGCATTAACGTTATTGCATTTTGTTACACCCCTGAACAATGTTATCAACCGTGAGATCAGACGTACAATTACTCTCCTGTAACTGGCTCACGGTCTTTAATTTTTAAAAATATAGAAATGTGTCCATCAGAGTAGAAATAGCTGCAGTCATTAGCGCAACAGTAGTTGTCTAACTAAAATATAGGTCAGGGTTATGTGAAAACTGGAGGTGAAAACACTGATATTAGCATCAGGTCCTCAAGATGCCTGGAAATTAAGTTGCTTAACCATTGCATGAACATCTCCTCATTTGTCGTACTATAGAAACTGCAAGTAGTCGTGTATCATCTCCTCTTTGTTGTTTTTGTTATGCTTTCTTATCTATTGCTACATATCTATACGACCATTATCACAGGCGTGGGGTTTATTACTAGCTGCAGTCATGAATGTTCAGCTTGTTGTGCTGTTCTTGATGGCGCACAAAGATGTGTGAGCACTTAATTTATGTTGCTATGCATGGGCACAGTTTTATTGACATATTGACTGAAAAAAAACAAAAAAACATCTCTGGCCTTTGGTGATCTGCATCTTCAAAAGCAAAACCTGTGATTCTTCTGTCAGTGTTCCTGAAATATAGACGCGGCAATCTGAAAAAATGCTGGAATTTAATCAACGATGAGTGAGAAAATTTGCAACATTAATGATTAATCGAGACAGGTAATGGCTTTCATGTCTACACGTCACAGTGATTAGGTAATCCCCAAATCTAGCAAATCAATTTAGGAATCAGATATCAAGAGCAGCTGCCTGCAGTGGATCTCATCACAGTGAATTGGGTGTAAATTTTACCAGCATCTGGCAAGTTGCTAATAATAACTCCTTAAAATGCAGACTGAGGAGAAAGGCCTTTGTAATGAAATAAGATGGACCATTTAGTATTGGTAAAACAAATGTCAATGTATTGAGTTTGTGTGGTGAACAACACAAACAGATCAACAGTAAGGCAGGCCAATATACACTGCATACATTGATTTATTTCCTCTTTTTCTCAATGGTACACCTATACCAGTAAAAAGATCACTGAGGATAACACCACTCACGACTCAATGCTGCCACCTACTGGCACAAACACACATAACCCAGACATGACTGTAGAGGCTCTATAGCATTACATAAGCCATAACTAACAGTGACGTCATTTGTATTTCACAGCAAATTATACTGCAGCAAATACTTGTGTGGCACAACAGTTAGACGCAGGTTGTGCTTTGAATAACTGAAAACATATCAGTACATGAAGTGACGCACACATAATACAGTAACAGAACACAGCTGTCTGTTTGTCTCCTTTAATAGTTCACCAGTGAGTGTTTGACAGGCTGATGCACCTTTATCTCCTTGAAGGAAACAGAAGCTCCAGTCGTTGTTGACGAGGACCACAATTCTAGAGTAGCAGAAATCAGAAATAGGTAGGTTAGGTGCAGCTGCGATTACATGTACAAGTATTATTTGTACATTATTTGTAATCATTGCAGCAAATTAAAATGTTTCTACAAAGCTGCTGTTGTGCTGGCCGCAGATTCATGCAACAATTTCCTTCTGCACAGTTTCAAAGCAAGCAACTGAGCCTCAGCTCCTCAGCCACTGAAACACTGGCTGCATATTTGATCCTTCAGAGAGAATATACGAGCAGTTAAGTAAACACACTTTCTGCAATTTCATCATGTTAACTGTCACTATTACCCTCCAAATCCACTGCATCTAAGGGATGCATTTGTGCACAGAATCAGTATGCTCTGCTGATTACTGCTGAGAGAAAATTCAACACTTGCTGCTTACTTGATGCTGTGCCTCCGCTCGAAGAGCTGTCAGAGCACTCATCACCCTGGCTGGGTGGTACAACATTTTTGGCTGACAGCTGACTTCGATTAGACTTCACTTTAAAACGCCCTGAAACCAAACCAAACAAAATTGTCAAAATTCTCTCAAAACAGAAAATATGACTTATAAACTATAAAGTGGCCATGCTGTAGATCATGCGGTTCTTATATCTAACCCCGTATTCTAAACTTAGTATCCAACAAATGTTTCAGCCCGTGTCTGTTCAAATGATTTGTGTTTACAACTATTATTTTCATAGTCATGATGAACTGATGATTATTGTAACTCAACACAGATAACGTCTCCTTGACCCACCAGGGTTGAGAACCCTCTCTTCAGCTTTGTGCTCCAGGTGCCTGTGGAGGATGACTTCAGTCTTCTTCTGGTTTGTGCATATGTCAGGCTTGGCCATGATCTCTGTTATTGCCAGATTGTTCTTGATGGCCTTCGAGGCTGTGGAGCGAGCCAGTGCAGGCAGCGACTCCTGGTATTGTTGGTCAGTAAAGTCGGACTCTTGTTTCTGAATATCACTGATGCTGCGAAGGGAGACATGAAAAGATTAGAATACAAATAGGATATGTTGCTTTATCTGCATGGTGTATTGTGTTCAGTTTCATTTGGAATACTAAGCAAATGAGTTGTAATAGAATTGTTTGTGGTGTTTTCTGCATTATCAGTATTCACCCAAAATCTGAAAATGTAGAAATCAATATTGTACTGTACTGTAACTCCTACTAAAAATGTTTGAGTCAATTTACATATAAATGGTCCAGATGTAAGAAGGAAACTTACTGCCGCTTCGTTAAAATAGTGTAAATCTGCTGCACCAACAGCTCAGCTGCTCCTGATTTACAGTGGATTGTTCCATCAATGGCCTCTTTCATCAAGTGAAGATTCTGCTTTTGTAGAGACTGGAACAATAAACACTTGAAGTAAGCACTTGAATGAGGAGGGGAACCACTTCATGTATCAGGTCCCCTGTGTACATGTAGATAATGAAAATATCGCAGTGGGACTCCCATGTCGGGTAGTTTAGATAATTTTATGTTTAGGGAGTCAAGCTGTGAAAGTGCCATTGTGTCCCTGGGGAAATTGTAGGTTGAGCAACATCCCAACATTTCGGCTGGACACCTATAGGTAGATTCACTGCTGCTATGCTAATTCAATTCTGTACCTGTTCTGTGCATTTCAATCACACGCCAGCTGAGCTGAGTAAAGAGGCATTTCTTCGTGGCTCATGATATTTTTGGATGTTTTCTTCCACTTACCCGCCCAATCTGGCTCCAGTTCCACTGCTTGGCACAGAGTGATGTTCCTTTGTCATAGGAATGCAATGGAAAGCCGTGGGGGTAATAATGAGAAAATATCTCTGCCACAAGGTAACCGTTGGAAAAATCTCTGGAAATGAAGAATAGGGATAACAGTGTGAGTATACTGACTCCAGCAGTGGAATTTACTTTAGGCCAGGCATCACTGTGCAGCACTGCGACTTTGTGTTGCTTGTCTTAGTGTATTTATTGCTGTCATGGTTTAATCAATCTCAAATGTCCCTCCGGTGTGTTTTTGTGATCCTTAATTATTTCCTTCATATTTCATCTATTTCATTATGTGTTCTGTGTGATGCTACTCCTCATCACCTCTCAGTCAGGCTCTTTGCAGGTTACAGTAGGTGAAGAAATGTCCCATCAAAACGGGAAAAAGATCATAGCTGCATACTTTAAAATTAAAAATAGCTAAACTTAGCTTAGCTAGCAAGAGATGTTGCAGGTAAAACACTGGCTTGTGCAACTTCTTGAAATGTAGACATTCAGTAGACTTTTATTTAAATCGACTGCATTTCCAGCATCTGCTTGACAGTAATGTATAGCTAGCTACTACTTTGCAAACAAGGGTTAGCAGTGTGCTAAACAAGACAAGCAAAAGTCGTTTATTTGAAATATTTCCTGGTTACTCGACTCTAAGCTTCAAAACACGTTTTATCGTTGCAACTGCAAACTGTATATGAATGCTGTGGGTTAGCTAGCTAGTCGACAGAAGTCTTTGTAAGTTACAAAATCACTTTTATACCTGCGCACATTCTTCGGATAAAATGACAAATCGAGGGTTTGCAGCCACTTGACGACTTCTCTGGGCAGCGCTGTCTTTTTGGGACTCATGAGGCAGGTGAAGACTACAAAGCGACAACGTTTCTGTCGTTGTACAACAAGTGAAGTCAGGAAATCATCAAGTTCTTAGTAACTCCTTCACTTTCCACCAAGATAATTAAAGAGCTTGCATTTGACCTGACCAGCGCTGACCTTTCTTTTTGTTTATATCACTATGACAACGACCGCACTTCCTTGTTGTGGTCACGTGGGAGCGTGCAAGCAGCGATGGCGGTCTGCTGCCCTCTACGGTATGTAATACTGATGAAACTGAATTTAATCGAGGCAGTACAATAAAATCCATTTACTGCATACAGTATGGTAAAAATCTAACTCTTTAAATTCTGACATTTAGCATTTGTAAGCGTGAAGAAAGAGCTAATGAATGACATAACAAAATGCAGTTGTAATAATATGGATAAAATGTTTTCACACGTTGTGATTGTTAACAAATACTACTTGCTACCACAATATAATATTATAAACTAGAGCTGAAAGGTTAATTATGAAAAGATTACAGCATGAATTTGCAATTAGATAAATAAACTGCTGCCTCCCCAGTTCAAGCTGGGTCAGACATGCTGCATAACATTTCCTAATTCCCAGCCTTTATGATTCACCGATCGCTTTGTTTCAGATTGTGACTTCTGAAATGGATTGTTCAGCCCTAATGTAAACCATGTAATAAATGTATACTGCTTGTGAAGTGTTGGCAAATGAGTAAAATATTTCTTTATTAATACATGTAGTGCAGCTATAAAATTAAAATGATTCAACAGAAATATTAAAACTCAGCTCAGTATAATGAAATCATTTTTCAAACTGCAACTTGTATTATTTAAATACACACAATTACCTACCTATGATGTTTTAAGAACATGATTCAGTTGATCTTCAGTTCATATTTTCCTTCTGACACTTTCCAGCAAGGTTAGCCACCACACTCAGTACAATGAAAAAAAGTTTTTCAAACTGCTGCTTGTTATTTTTTAAATACATGCTATTATCCAGCACGTCGTGTCACAGGAGCAGGATTCAGCTGTGCTACCAGCTATTGTCTCAGCAGTAGAAATAAACATCCAGTGCTCCACCATCATATTTTGCTTCTGAGACTTTCCTCCACACTTACCAGTGTTCAGACATCCAAGCTTAAACTTGTCAGATATGTTAGGGTTCAGTGAAAAAGAAGAAATGTTTGAATGCACTCGGATTCAAAACAATGTTTTAATAATCTAATGGTGTGCAGTGCATTAGGTAAGAAATGCAAAACTATAATACTCGTTTGTATATGTATATATTATGTATATACTTATTGTGTGCATTTATACAACATTATAGTCTTAGAATGTAACACTTAATAAATTGCATCACACTCTGGTAGCCGTTGCAGCTCTTAAGGCATCTTCTAAACACAGCAGAACAGAAAACAGACTAATACTCAACATGTATTTTTCTTAAAACCATAATTAGTCTAGGTAACACCAGGCCTAGAAGCTTGTTTTTTTTTTTGCAGCATCCTGCATCACATTCATCCAGATCCACACATCCACATATGGGAAACAGGCCAGCTCAACACAGCTTGTTACTGTCAGCTACCCAGTGACTGCTCTGTGGCTAATTCAAATTAATTGCCCTTACTGGATTGGCTCATGGCTAAAATAAAGTTAGGAGGAGTTTGTGGAGTTAATATGATGTTGGTGTAAAAGGCCCCTTTCTGTAAGTCCCATTTGGTTGTTCTTTCTGTTATTGGTACTGCAGGTAACACTTGAGCCTGTTGGGAAGGGGAAGGTGGGAAATAAGGTGGAGTCTGTCACGGCCGACGCAGCTTCTGACACACTGACGACACAACTGGCTCAGCAGTCGTGGTGTAGCTACGAAAAGGAGACAAGTAGAAAAATGATTTAGATTTAGATCACCTTAAAAAAAAAGTAGCATCGATAAGAAGAAACAAATCTCATCCTAGATAACAAAGGTCACAGAGTGCATACAATCCAAAAAAGAAGTCAGCTTCTACCTTCGTAGAGCAGTAGAAAGCCCTCTGTTAGACTGCTGGGTGGAGCAACATCGACTGGTCTCTGAAACTCTGTATTCCTGGCATTAATGTCTGCACCAAAGTCCAGCAGCAACTTCACTACAGCTGTGCAGTCTTTTTCTGCAGCTGCGTGTAATGGAGAATCCAGGGATTTGCCTTTCTGTACATTGGCACCTGTATGAAGTACATTTAGATTATCCACTCTCGACACCGTCCAGTCAGAAAAACTTCAATGTCACATACTTCCACTGTTGAATCAGTAAATGTTGGTAATTCTAGTCCTGGAGTTACTTTGTGACTACATTTTTTATGTACCTGCTTCCCCTCAGCTGTGCTTGACTACCTAACAATTTCTCTGCCAGAAATGAGTTTCGACAAGCATGAAAAAATAAAAATTGAATTTATTACCTTCACTCAACGGTAGTGAGTGTTATGGGCATGCAAATAAATTGAAAATGTGATCAGTCAGTTGAGTGCACTTGATTGTGGTGCTGCTCATTACTACAATGACTGTGTTGTGTTTGTGTTAAGTTCTTGTTTACTAAGGCTAATACAAATAAAGAAATTAGCACATTTGCTTCCTTTGTATTGAATTTCTCATTATCTAGTTGTTGCACATCTCTAAAAGGAGACCTTTTGCAGCTTACAGTTTAGTTTTTACATAACTGCTTGTCTCTGCTTACATCCTGTGAGCATGCATGTATTATATATATATATTTATTTCCCATTTCTTGGCCTTGCCACGTGTGTTCATACAGGATTTGGAGATGTAAAGATCGACACAGTGCTGCGAGCTGACCTTCCCTCAGGAGTTTCCTGGCACACTCCAGCTCTTGGCAGATGCAGGCTGTATAGAGCGCTGTGCCCAGGTGAGGAATGTCCATGTCCACATCTGCCCCCCAAGTCACCAGAGCCTCCACACAACCGTAATGACCTGGAAGTAATGAAGCGTGAAGACAGTAATCAGTAAGTGACAGTGCAAGATAATTCTCCAAGCTGTCTTCACGGGTCATGTTGGGATTTATTTTTAAATGTGTTTTTCAAGGTGCAGGTTTGTCAGAAAGTGGTTTATGGTACAGCAAAGGACACAAATACAGGTTGGAAAACAAGCTCAAGTGAAACCTATAATACATGCACAGTGATGTTGGTCTCTTTTAAACAAAATATATTTTTAAGATTGAACTAACTGAGTGCAACCTCTGACTTTCTAAAGATAATTTCGGACCCACTAACACTGGCTGTAGGTTAACTTTGAAGTAAATACTCCATGTGAAAGAATGTTTTTTTTTTCCCCAGTAACATTTTAGTGTTGTCTTTCAAAGAAATCTAATTTTGTAACGTGCATACTTCCACAAAATTATGTGGTTCCATTTAAAAACTACCAGATTTTATTTGATGCAGAGTATTTTGTCATAACGCACCTTTGCTGGTCGCTTCATGTATCGGTGAAGGATGGTATACAAGACTCTGGGGTTTTGCTCCATTTTCCAAAAGAATTTCAGTGCATGCCACACTGCCCACTGTACAGGCATTGAACAGAGGGGTGACTCCATCAATTGTAGAAGCATTGACCTGTAAACACATTTTCTTTTTATTGTTATTTTTAGGCCTTGTTTAACCATGTAAGTTGACTAATAGCAACAGCCTGGGGGAACAGTTGAAGGGGAACAACAACTTAATAGCTCTACAGTGACTGTAGATGGAGAGCGGGGGCAATACTCATTTGTTACCCCTACCCAGATTTTCCCAGCCATGGAAATTACATTTGACCTATGTGGCACTGCAACATTAAAGGGTCATCACACCATTACCCGACTTACGTTTGCTCCTGCATCAATGAGAGCTCTGGCGCAAGCAACATGGTCGCCGACACAGGCCTCGTGAAGGGGTGTCACATGGTCTATAGTCAGAACGTTCACATTGTGACCCTGAAAACAGAGTCAAACAGCCACAGATATCTAATGGGCACAGACATTTAAGGGGACATTAAATATTCCATGACCTTTGTCAACCTCTGTTGGTGAAGATGAGGAATTGCAAGAACACTACTAAAGCCTATCTCCTCTTCTAAAACAGACTCATCCACTGTAGTGTAAAGTCGCTTTTCAACAATAGAGATTAATAAGCCTGCTAATTAAAGTGCAGATCCATTTGAAGGCTGGCAAAGAGCTAATAAATCACCATGTGAAATCCTGTAATGATATCACTGCTTTGTCATACGATTGTCTGACTCTAACAAGGAACTGTTGGCTTTGTCCCTTAAACGACATCTTCTCTTGTAGCACAGTCTTTCATCTGTAAGCAGCCGAAACCGCAAGTGGAGATCGCAATTTGGATGTGTTCCTTGTCAGTTTCTCTTTGGGAATGTCATTTTTTTAATAGATGCTATCCATCAACAGCTCTTCAAACCACCCTCACATTCTGTATCTGATGGTCAGTGTATACCTCCCCGTCAAGTTTCATTAAAAGACATATAAACCAACACGTGAGGGTGCTGTAAGCCATTGTGCATAAAAAAATGATTTACATTAAGCAGGACATAGTCAGATGTTCAGTATTTACATTTTATGTTGACATTTAGCCAGCTCTGTTGCCTATTAAAACGTCCCCCTTACTGTAGTGCTTGCCTATATAAATCACTGGCAGCCAGACAGGAGAATTATCATAAACCTGTCACTTTAAAATATACTGTGTATACACATACGACACTGCGAAACAGTATCTTGCCAGTTGGTTCACAAACATTATAAGCAACCAATGAGGTGCAACATCATTATCCACAAAGTCATCAATAATTAATCTGATACGGGTACACTGTGTTATTCTTGGTACAAGATATTCTTGGTACACATACATTCAGAATGTATGCCACATTGTAGCCTTGACCCTGGCAGTAATGTTATACAAATTTAATAAATCACCTGTGATAAGAGGTGCCCCCCCTTTAAAAAAAAAAAAAAAATCCTGTATAACTTAATAGGAACAGCTGAGTCTTATCCACACCTCCATCTCTTTATCTGATCGGGAATCTACAAAGGTTCCGAACCTAATTTAATGACACAAGAGATGAGTACAACAGCATCCACGTGTGCAGATAAGGGGATGCACATTACCCTCTTAAGGGATTGTGTTCTCTTCACCTGTAAAATGAGGGTCCTCAGTGCCAGGAGGCGGCCCTGACTCGCAGCATCATGAAGGGGTGAGCGGTCTGCCCAGGATCCTGTGACAGGAATAAGAATTCAGTGCTTGTTTCTACCTACATTTATTATTTACCCGATTCTGTCATTCTAAATCCTTTACAGTAGAAAGGGCAGAACATGTTTGTAATCAAAATGCATCCATTCACAGGACAAATTAATGTAAACTTGAGCAAAAGGCTGCGATCATTTAAGGTAAATTTAAAAAAAAAAAAAAAAAAAAAGACAAAGCACACCTGAGTCAATGTCCAGAATAACTGCAGATGCATTCCACACGTTCTCATCATCATTAGCCTGTTCCTTCATATTATTTAAAGGATATAGATAATAATCAACTTAATGTTTTCTATTAAATTTGCGCTATTTTATTTATGCAGCCCATTTTCTTTGACTGACGTTAATTTGAAATACGGACACAAAGAAGCAGCTAGAGACATCAAACAGATTTCTTAGAACAAGGAAGACCATATCTACAGGACCGTGACTAATACCCTGAGCTCAGCTAATTAGTATTCCATGGAGTGGGTACACTTTAAATCAAACATCCTTTTTTGAATGATAGCTACAGATTATGTTGTCGTCGTGTCTCTCTTCCCCCAGAATGTGCCTTTCGAACCGCCTGTCCCTGAGAATGTGGAGTGTTGTTTTGGTTGCTGTCTGAGTGCGAGAGGGTGCACTGCATAGCTGGGAATGGAAACTAGGGCAGGATACGAGTGGGGGAGGAAGGAGGGGGATATCATGACTGTGTTCTATTAATACATTAGAGAAAAAGAGCTGCTGGGCCAACAGTGTCTTCGTTTAATATTGAATGTACAGTTCTGGATTTATAAGTAGCTATTAAGCTAATGAAAGAAAAGTAGGCTATCATTCATATCTACAGTACGTATTAATGTGAATATTATTAATGCCTTTTATACTCATTGGATTAGCAATGCAGTATTTATAGCTCATTTGTAAACACAGAAATTGTGAGCGTGTGTGTGTGTGTGTGTGAGCGAGCGTGGAGCACTTTCATTTGAATTTAGAGGATCCTATTAACATTTTACATCTTACCTAACACAGCTGAGGTAGAACATGCTGCTTAGTGTGTTGTGTAAACACAACTGTATTGTGGTTACATTTTACACTGAGCTTGCCTTCATCATGCACATATATATATATATATATATGCTTCAAATGACGCTGTCTTTTAAAACAAGACACTACCTTAAGAAAAAAAAAAGAAGCTTTTAACTCAGTACTCACTGTGTTGTTGACCATAATCATAGAACTCTGCCGATATCCTGGCAGCCTCTTTACGGTTCCCACGGACAATGTAGAAGTATGTTAGCAAGTTAAGAGAGATCTTAACAAAGAGTTTAAAGCAGAACAGTGCCAAGATGCTGAGGTAAACATTGGACAACTGGACTGCGAAGGGCTTGTTGGTGAGTTCCGCTGTTGGGTCTGACATTTCCTCTGGCACGTTACAGAAGAGCTTTGGTTATGATGAAGGCAGGATCAGATGCCACTCCAAAAAGCACAAGAGTAGCCTACTTTTTCTGCTAGTGGACTGACTGGTTGGCTGGTACTGACAAAGTACAGACCGGAAAAAATGCTCTGCAGCTGCTACTGTGCCTGAAAGCAACCTACTGCAATGTTATTGTGCACTGTGTGTGGGCGTGGGTGGTCACAAGTTATATAAATTTCAAACTTACATACCTGTTCAGTCACAAACCTTTCAAAGTACAAACGGGGGCCGGTGCACACTGGTTCATTCTTAGCCTTTTATGGTGCAGACTGACTGTTTCAAGACTGTTACTAACTAAATGTATGAATATAATTTTAAAATATGGATGATTAAAAAGTATACCCATGCAATTTTGCATACATTTTTAACTCGTAGTATTTCATTCTAAATAACTGATTAAAAAATAAATGTAAAAAAAGTTATAAAAATGCATTTTTTGCATACATTTTAGCTCATGATGAATTCCAGATTAATTTGATTGAAATTATTTTTTTGAATGTCTTACATACATTTGAACACCACTGACTTACAATCAATTAGAATCAAACTGGTTAGAAATGCTCTTTTGCCATCGATTTTAACTCATGATTATTTATTTTGTATTAGGAAAATTGAATTTTTAAAAATTCAAAATGAAATAAATAAATAAATAAAAACACATGTAACATAAGATTTTGTAGCACTTTTGAGTAAATATTGATGGTTGAGGAAGCATTCACACAAAGCTTGAGGAAAATATATTTTTAGAATCAGCATATTATTATTATTATTATTATTATTATTATTATTATTATTCAGACTACATAGTTTTATGAGGCACTGTAAATTGGGAAAATGAGCAACAAAGTCGATGTGAAATGTAATTTAATTTTCTATTTTTAATTCCTGCTTGTTTACCTCCCCTGGTGTCAAAGGTACCCGTATTCTACTTTCGGTTTCCAGGGTAACGCCTCCCGGTCGCCGCGCGTGTGTGTCACACCATGTTGTTGCCGCACACCTTTTCCGCAAACACCTAAACATCTGCGCTTCCCGTTTGAACCTGTGCATGTCTCTGACCGACTTTTCTCCGTCAAATGAGGGGCTACCGGCTGCTTGAAGTTGTGATAGCGACTCTCGGCGCACTCGTCTTTCCTGCGTGTTGCCACAATGTGAGCTCGGACGAAACGACGCGGAATAACTCCGCGGTTGACTTCGACTCGTTCAGAGCGAAGTTTCACCGCGTCTACGACTTCAGCAGCGACGAGTACAGCCGTCGGCATCTGTATTATCAGGTAGGTAAGGCAGAAAAAAAAGCAAGAGAATTACTTTAGGGACGAACTTTAAAACTATTCAACGACAAAACGGCGGCGTACGTCAGTGCAGGCCACGCCCACTTACGTAGAGGACGGAAGTGTTTTAAAAAAAAAACTGGTCGAAAATATTAAATGTTTATAAATTGTATATCTTATTTCACCTTGATATGCAATGTCAGTAATTTTTAGGAAACACGAAACAATTAAAAAAGCACAATAACTTCTATTATAACTTGTGAATTCAACACATAAAATCGTCCTTAGATAAAGATGAATTTATGAGCAATAGATCATACAGTGAGTTCTACTGTTAAAACACTTACTGATATAAACATGATGGCAAACGTAAAGTAAATATTACTGGCCTGTTTGACTGCTGTTTTTTTGCCAGATTAAAATACTGTCTGTTACTCTGTATTCAGCAATAACTGCATATTTTGTTTGTACATTTTAAATCTGCAAAGTCAGTACCAGCTGTAGGTGTCATATAAATGCATATGCATAATTGCTATAAATACAGTGGAGTTCCTATGGTAATTAGAGGACATGGTAATGATCACATGCAATCACAAGCACAGTAGTTGAGTATGTGTAATTAGTCCCTTTTGAAGCAGAGGTAATACGCCAATATTTGTAAGTAGACAACTTGTGGGTTTTATTGCAGGCTCGAAGCAAACAAAAAAATGAACATGAGATTTCTCTGTATATATTTTTTATATTAGAAAAAAAAGTCCTTTATCCTCTTCACAAAATTATTTAACTGTTTCACACAATAATTTTTACTTAAACAACTCATTCTTGTGACCAGAGTTGCCAACATTTTGCAGACTTTTAAGACACCACACCTGATTTGTTGTTTATGTTGTTACAGAATGCCACCGAGCGACATACGTACCTGAACACGTTTTCTACAGGACCACAGGCTGCCAAGTACGGCATCAACCAGTTCTCTGACCTCTCACAGAAGGAATTCAGGGGTAGGTTGCAACTTTTTCAGTATCGTGCAGGTTTGCAGACAGGAATTAATTCATTTGCACCACACAGTCACGTCACACATTGACCTATTTATGGTAACACATAAGTCAAGTCACTGTTGTTTTTACAGCACATTTAAAAAAACAGCCATTGAGCCAAAGTGCTTTCCAGTAGAGAAACAAGTTTGGCATTATGAATTTACCTAATGAATTTAAATCTTGAGGTTGAGACCGTTGAGAATTATTAATGATGTGAATTTATTTGAGTAATTTAAATATTTCAAATGAAACCATTTAAAATTATACAAGTTTACCTGACAACTTTAAATATCAATGCTAACAGCCTACAGTAATATTAATTATTAAATACATTTAAAACTAACATTAAGGCCCTACAAAAATATACAATAAAAAACAACAACAAATCCAAAGATTTACTGTGAGTGGCGCATTTGTGACAGTGGAGAGGAATAATCCCCTTTGAACAGGAAGAAACCTACAACAAAACCAGGCTTAGGGAGGGTGACCATGGTCTGCCTCGAACAGTTGGGGTGAGGATAAAGGGGACAGAAAAAATGATAGCGACAAACTGACAACAAATAAGAGAACATCAACAGTGAACCGACCGGACCTGGACAAGTAGACCGCAAATTAGACCTGTGCAGCTCCAGAGCCAGAAGTACCTGCAGGGAGAGGGAGAGAGGACATAAAGGACAACACAGAAACTAGATTAGAAAGATGAGACGAAGTTAATAGGTTGGAATAGCATTTAATAGAATAGAAACCTGTGGAGGAAATGACAAGAATGAACACATGTGGAGGCAGGATAGCTGAGGTAAAGCACACTGACCTGATCAAAATGAGAAGGTTTAACTATAATACTGAAAGAGTGAAGGAGAAAACTGAGTGAAAACAGCAAAACAGCAGGGCGATGAAAAGAAACTAAGAGTGGACATGACGAGGGCAGCGCCAGGAAAACTGAAAGCAACCAAAAAAAAGTGAGCCTTCAATTTTGATTTGAGATTTCCGATGGTAGGACAGGATTTAATGTGGATTGGGAGACAAGTGTTTTAGAACTTGGGTGCAGTAACCAAAAAGCCCTGTTGTCTTTGGTTTTGCAGTGTGAATGAGGAACAGAGAGGAGTAACTGTGAGGATTTCCTAAGAGGACAGAAAACAGAAGTAACATCGGGAATGTATTGTGTAGCTAAACGGTGAAGGGCTTTATAATCTAACAGTAAAATGTTCAGCTCAATTCTCTATTTCACTGAAATACAATGCAAATGAGCTGGAACCAGGGTGATGTGCTGTCTGTTCTTTGTACCAGTTAAAAGTGTGGCAGCTGAGCTGGCATCACATTACAACGTGATAGTGTATTAAACAGCTTACTAAACTTTTGTGTAATTTCACTCAAATGCTGTTTTGATCTTGTACAAAAAAAAGGTACAACAAAAAATAAAACAAACAAACAAAATCTGTGTCCGACGGCTGCTGCGGTTCTTTACTGTAAAACATTTGATAAGATTGATAAGAAAACAACAAAGTTACAGACATGTTCTACTGGTCCAGATTGTGTTTAAACCACAACTGTTTATACTGCCTTTTGACGTTGGCATGGGATGCATGAAGATTTGGGACAAATGTTTTTACATTTGTGATAATCATCACTACTTCAATATGATAAATGTAGAACAACATTACAGGATGAACAAATAAGCAGATTCACTCACCGCAGTTGCAGCTCCACAATGGTGGACAAAAATCAGAAAGCCTGATAAGAGCGATCAATAGAGAAAATACTTCAGGAAAGATTGAAGACTGAATGATGAGGCTGTAAACCTTTAGATTGATTGATTATATGAATGAAGTCATTGTTTACTAAATGTTGGAAATTTGTATGGACTTGAACAGTCAAATAAATTGTTTTTATTATTATTGTTATTATTATTATTATTATTATTATTATTATTATTATTATTATTATTATTATTATTATTATATGGAACTAGTCCTACTAAAAGTGCTTTACCATTAATCAAAATAATCAAACATAACTGCTGTGGATCAGTGTGTTTACATCGCATCCAAAATCAGGCCAGTACTCATGGGCTCATGGTCCAAAGCTGGCCTGAATATGGATAAATGTGCCATTTCTTGACCAAAACCAGGCCAAACCCATACACACAAAGCCTTGGGAAATTTTGCAACCATTACTGCTCTTGCCTGCTACTCAGCGTGCTGGTTCTCATCCTGATTGCACTGGCTACGTGGCTGTTGACTCAACAGTATGATGTTTGATAGGAACTTTACATTTTTGTTGAATTGAAGAGATTTTAATCTTATTAGTGTGATTTAGAAGGTTTATACTTTGAATAGAATCCATGGTGTGACATTTTTCAGAGAAGCGGAAAACATTTAGATTGCTCATCGTAGACTGCGCGCAGTATATCACAGCTCGATTAACATCGAAGTGATTAGTTTCCTCAAGTATTTAATAAGAGAAATGTCTGGTGTGTGAAGATTCTTAAAATAACATCTATTCAGATGTGAAGGCCTGACAGTCTGAATATCTGACAGATCAGCAATGAAAGCTGTTGTCTGTGTGTTTAACTGTTTATAAATGTGTACAGGGTATTTATGTGGTTTGAGAGTGACGAGTCTCCTTAGCTGATTTATATGCAAGCTGATATGATGCTGATTTTCATGAGTAAAATGGAGGCTGACTGTTGAAACCAGAATTTGTTAGTGTTAAAACGAAACCTGGGGGAATTTTGGCACCAAAATATCGCCAGCTTGTCTAAATCAGCATGATCATGGGTACAGAGAAATAGTGACTTGATACAGTCTGAGACCATCAGATAATTTCATCCACCCAGTTTAATAATTCAAGTCTTTTAGCCCAAAAACTAGAGAATTGATCTAGCTGTGATCTGACCACAGACAGACACATCATTTTCTGCTTTTGTTTCTTTGTAAGAATGTGTTTTCTTCATCTGTATCTGTGCAGCTACATTGCATCTAGAAGTGTCACATTTCAGATGTTTCTCATTCACGTGTGTCAAACACATGAAGCCCTCAGTGTGAAACATGAAAGGCTGCACTGCATTCCCTCTTTTGAATATGAAGAACAAAATCACAGCATGAGCTGTTGAGAATCCACCTGATGTATGTTTGAACTCCTCCAACCAGAATTTGTCAGGGTTGAAATGAAACCTGGGACAGTTGTCGCAGTTGTCACAAAAAGTGTTTCCTTGTCTGAATCAGCTTTAGTGTGGAGGACGCAAACATAGAGGCACAGAAATAGGGACTGGATACCGTCTGGGATCCTTCAAATATTTTAATCCATTCAGTTCTTTTAGGGCACATTTTTCCTCATTTAATGGTGTTCGTTTTTGCAGAAATACCAAAAAACAGGTCTGTTTCATTTGAACAGTCAAAACATCCCCATATAACCTATAAGAAATGAAAAGTTCTGCAATCCTGGTACCCAGACATATAAAAATTGGAAGGGTTGATTGATTTTAGTCGTCTAAAACGGTCTGTAATGTTGTTCTTAAAGCTTAGCAAAGTGGTCAAAATGTACAATTTATTTAGTCATTACCTTTATTTCTCTGGTTGGTTCAACGTCCATAAACCTTTTTCTAATTTATGAGTAATGAAACATAAAAGGCACACGATCAGACTGTATCAATGATATAGAATAATAATGCTTGTACTAAATTACTATAGATATTTTCACATTTTATGAGAAATCACAATATTTCTCCTCAAATCTTTGTCTTTAATCTTTCCCTGTTTTATTTGCCTTTGTGGGAATTTTAACATGCTGCATGCACTTGTTCTTAATTTGTTCAGTGGAATGTCTTAGCTCAGTGTCTTACCTCTTGGATGGCTGGTACTGAATCTGCAGAGTCATTGTTTACATGCAGCTTTATATCCAGGGATGACTTTGAACTGTCTATCTCTTATCCACAGATCTTTACCTGCGAGCAATCCATGATCGAGCTCCTCTCTTCTCTGGCCTGAGTATAAAGCAGCTCCCAGCCAAATTTGACTGGAGGGACAAATCAGTGGTGGCACCGGTCCAAGACCAACTATCAGTACGGTTTACACACACAAGTAATAGACATACTGTATCGGTAGGAGATTATTTGCATGCACCTGAGTTACACACACACACAAATAAAATTCAACAAATAATTTAAATATTAACAAATAAAGAAAATCAAAAGGGCGCCCATATGAGCCACAAATCCTCACCAGCAATACAGCGAAAATGATGAAGTTGGTGCTTGATAGTTGTGTCCTTGCTTTTTATTTTTTAATAGATGTAAAATGTGTGATTTCCAGTGAGAAGTATTTCCATGCACCATCCATAAGGATGCACATCCATTTATTTAAGATGCTTTAGGACGTATAAAAACACTGTTTTTATAATTGATTTGTGACTGATATCGGTTTTCCACAAGGAATGTTCCATCCCCTGGAAAGGTATACATAGAATTCCATTTACTCCATCTGCCTCATGGAAAAATGTAAGAATCTATGGGTATGGAAATAATTTTCATTCATTCTCGGTGTGTGTACACCAGAGGCTTCTTGTTTCTTACAAAACACTTAACAGCTTGAGTTGCATTGTGGTCCATGACTTCCAGACTAGTTGTGATTACACACAACCTTGGTTGTGTTTTCAAAACTGAGATTTCAGGTAAGCACAGAGAGACTTCTCCCTCCAGCAGATCAATTTGGAAACAGTTTGTCTTGTGTTGAACTGAAGGTCAAACATTCAAGTGAGGCAGTAATGAACAAAACACATGTTTTAGTGTTGGGGAGTTGTGATAATGGCAAAGGAGACGCAGGGAAACAATGACAAATTAAGTCTTTGTGAGTGTAGTTCAGGGAGCGGATTAGATCTGGGGGTAGAGAAGGGACAGGGTTAGTGAGATGGAGTTGTTGCCTGTCCTCAGTGAAGCTCACTTTTTGCTCTTTTTGTCCTTTATCTCCTCAGTCAGTCAATTTGCTGCAGGGGATGATGTTGTCACTGTAAAACTGTTGTCCTAGGGGAGAGACATAACCCATACAGGAAAACGGCAGCATGATACCATAATTTACTCTCTTGAATTCAGGTAAAGTTTAGCTCCAGGGAGAGTCTGTAAATGACCACACTCACCTACCACTCAGCTCTGCTGCAGTTTTTCTGCACACATTTCTTTTTGTTTGGCTCTGTGTGTGTAGAGCTTGGTTGGCTCAGTTTCTAAAACGCATCAATGGATAGACAGAAAGTAAAATGCATTACCCTGCACAAAGACCCATAATATCAAACCACTAACCTCCTATAAATTTGTCTTGATCCGGTTTCTCCTTCTCTTGATTCCACATTTATGACTTGAGTGCATTTCATTGCTTTAGAGAAGGGAGCAGATGGCTCTAATATTTTGTATACTCAGCGCATACTTAGCTCCAGTCCAAGCAATAATGACTGATTTTGCTGTCAGTATTGATTTTAAGCTGTGGCACCATATTGAGCAACAAAAATATTGAATTTTTACACATTGATAGTTCAGGTTTTCATTACATTTATGGGAATTTATGCTGAGCAAGGGAGATTATTGTAGTGCAATACTGTTTGGAGAAACAAATTTGTCCGTGCAAATGTTAAACATGAAAAAAAATTAGTTGTTTACATAATGTAGTGCAGAATATGTCGCCTCTCCTCCTGCCCCCTGCCAGAGAAGAGTTTTTCAGGAAGGTAATCTGTAAGATATCTGAAGCGTGAAACACCTTAACATTGCAAAAGGTCCTTCCACTTAATGCCCGAGCACATTAACTGAAGCAGGAATACAGTTTTCCTCAAGACAGTACACCTGAAGTTTTTCTGTCAGTAGATGGCAGCAGAAAACAATTAGTCACAGTTCACTCAGACTGGCCAGATCGCCTCACCTGTTCTACCACGGACGGCGTCCACATCGCTGAAATCAAGCAGTGTTTAAAAACCCAAGATTGGCTTCTAAGCTCAAATGACACGAGTTAAATCTAACCCAAAATCTTCTGTTGAACTTGTATCTAAATTTTGTGTTTATCTAATAATCAGGGTAGAGTGGGTCTATTTGAGGATGAATGATCTGTCCTTGTGCAACCCCGCTACACGGATCAATGCTGAAACTTCATTTCCATAATTCAATGTAAAATAAGTCTTTGCCCTGCTGAAGTGTCCTTGAGGAAAACATAAAATTCTCTGTAGATGGAGATAAGCAAAAAAAAATTAAAATAAATAAATAAATATTTGTGTATAAATTTCCTTCTGGGCTCTGTATGATGTGACTAGATTTTTGTTTTGGATCTGAATCATGTTCCAGCATTTTCTTGTCTGTCTTATTGCTGTAATTGTACCTTTACAGTGTGGCAGTTGTTGGGCATTTAGTGTGGTTGGTGCCATACAGTCTGTCCAGGCTATAGGAGGCTCGCAGCTGGAGAGGCTCAGTGTGCAGCAGATTGTGGACTGCTGCTTCCAAAATGAAGGCTGCGATGGAGGATCCACAACGAAGGCTCTGAAGTGGTTACAACAGGTATGTTGATATTTTTACGTAGCTTTAGGAGATCCTCAGGTCTTGTAAAAGATGCTTTCAAAATAGTTTGCAGTGAGTAGAAGAATAGGAATAAACCTCCCAATACTTGCCCAAAAAAAATGCACTCACTATTTCTGTTACTAAAGCAACTGTTTAAAGACGAGGAGACCTGTGTGGAGATGAGAGCAATGTGTTTCACTTTTTAGCTTTTTAAGCATTAAGTATTATTGTTGAGAGATGTGTAGTGACAGGAAGCAATGAGCAATCAAAGTGTTGTTCCCTGTAGTCAGATATCAATGATATATTTCCTAAATAAGTGGAGATGCTGCAATTAGATAACCTATTCACTATTTTCTCTCTAGACTCGTATGAAGTTGGTGACTCAGTCAGAGTACCCCTACAAGGCCAAGACAGGAATCTGCCATTTTTTCTCCCCGTCACACGGAGGTGTTGCTGTCAAGAACTTCACTGCACAGGACTTCAGGTAAAAGACATATTTTTGCAAGTTACCTGTAAGTGATAAAGGGTAAAAATTAACATTGTATTCCAGGAAAAGCTCAAGGAATTTTATTGTGGTTTTCACAAAGTATCAAGGACAGAGAGGAGGGGGTGTGAGATTGGCCCTGTGCAACCACAGACTGCAGTGTTTACTATGTCAACAGACATGGATAGCTCAGTAGCACAGAGGTTCTTGACTCTGGGTCAGTTGTTTTGGCCCAAAGGTTACCTTGAGTTAAAGTGAATCCAATCTTTCTTATTTAATATTGAACAGAACTGGGACTCACCCTCATGCATATGTGATGTTTGTTATTTTTTATTATTAGGTCAATATTGTTGTGGTGTTCTCAGAGCTGGGATCAAAGTCCTCCGTCAGAGTTGATGGAGTTCGGATTTTGATGGAGTAGACTTAACATGGCTTCAAAGTTTATCTCTCAGATTTTTTTTGTATGATTCCTTTCCTTAAAAACAAATTGTTTCAGATATCCTTTACCATACCGTGTTTTCTTTACATTCTACCGTATCAGTGTAATCATTTTAACTGATTGTTTCTAATCCCATTTCCAAGTGCCGACACTTTGCTGCTCACTCTCTGCTTTGCTGACAATATTCTTCCGATGGCCTCATGTTTTGCTGCCGAAAAATTATGGGCAGCGACTCCTGAATAATTATATGGCACTCCAACTTTAATTTGTGAAAGACACAGAGGGCTACAAGCATATTTACTTAATACTGTTATTACATCTAAGTACTATGCAAGTGTGGCCTCAGACAGCACAAGCTTCTTTTACCACGGACCAAGAGAATACTAACACCCTGCAAATTAGCACCAACAAGACTACCAAGAAACATAAGGGCTGTCTTGCCTGGCGAGGAATCTGAAAGTAGCAGTCATCTCTGAAATTCTCTTGGTGCAAAGAAGAATAAATCACTTGCTAGGGAGACGGTAGAGCGAGTGACAGCCAGAGCCCAGTGCTGGGAGATTTGTGATGCCACTAGCTGGCCTGCACTACCATCCAGGCAGGGTGCCTTATCAACCTGTGCTTAGTAGGACACAGCCATTCAGAAAGGAGAGTTAAAGCATTTTATGTTTAGACCAGATTTGCACTGCTGCTGCTGCAGAACCCTGAATCTCGATCAGATGACCTGGGTAACCTCTCATCCTCAAACAGCAGTGTAAGGACTGAGAGTAGCTATGAAAGCAAAAGCCCCCAGGGAAAACTAGGCTTCAAACTCTGATTATAGAATTTTTTTTTGCTACTAAACGTGTAAAAGGCATAAGCATTGAAAACACCAAAATTACTACTTTCCAAAGAATGTGGTCTGTGACACGGCAAAGAAATCACCAACCTAGCACCAAGCTGCGAAAAACATTATAGTACACATGGAGACCAATGACACTGTGGAACAACAATCAGAACTTCTGAAATAGGACTTTATTGATCTATTGAACTCACTCTGGTTCCCTCATACTTATCAGTGGCCTTCTACCACCAGTCAGGGGGCTACTCAAGAGATTTGGCAGATTGTCAGATTGTCTGTCATCTTTTTAGGGTTGATGGAATTTACCTTTACAAGTCCAAAATAAAATGGTTTATCTCCTTTTTTTTCTCTCTCTCTCTCTAAATGCCTCATCGCCTTTCTGCTCGTGCTGCAAACGATAGGAGGAATTAAACAGCAACAAGACATAACACGGCACACAAAAAAAATCCTTGAAGGAGAGTCACCCCAACCCCTACCTGAGGAGCGTTTAAAACACGACGGATCGCACAGCCGAGATAGTCTGTCTGCACTCTGTATGCTGACTGCCACTTCTGAGAATTCACTTTCTTCATTTTCATATCAAAAATATAGCAGGAACTAGAGGTCTCATGCCCATACAAGATGTAAAGAAAATCAGTGATGCCTTTATTTCCAGCAGAGTGGACTACTGCAAATGCGTCTTCTCTGGTCTAAAGACTGTGAGACAACTTGTTCGAAAAGCTGCTGCTAGGCTTGTAACAGGAGGTTGCCACTTGAGGTTAGTTTTTAAATCTTTCCGCTGGCTCCAGTTACATTTTAAAGTGCTGCTTTTTTATAAATCACTCGGTAATTTAGGGCTAAAATACATCTAAGAATGAGACCCTTAGGAAGCAGTGCTTTGAGTTAGAATCAACATGCTGAAGCTGCTTTTTACTGCTTCATTACATACGGATGAAAACAACTTCCTGATGATATGAAATGTGACCCAACATTAACCAATTTTCAGACTAAATTTAAAATGCTGATGTTCCTCTGTGCCTTTGATATATTGGTTTGTTTACCGCACTTTATTTTTCTTGTTGCATTAAGGGCAGTTTATAGCTTATTACTGCACTGTAGCTGCACTTACACTGTATTTCGGGTCTTATTGTTCTTGTTCATTTTGTATTTTACATTTCATTATGCTTTTTATTTGACATTACCTGATTGTTTGAAATCTCATTCTCTTCTATTTTAGAGGTTTGTATCCTGGTATTTTGTTAATTCTTTAATGCTTTTCTTTGCACTTTAAATTGCTTCTGACTTTGACGTGCACCACAAAAAATAAAACAAATTTGCTATTTGTTAAACAGACATTAAAAGTAAAGCAAAGTAAATTGGAGTTTCAGACTGAGACACTGTCAGTTTGAAGGTACTACTTAAATTCCTGCTCCGTTCTTATCCACAGTTTGATCTGCTGTATCCAGTGTTTTCCTTCTGACCTGCCCCTGTCTTCTGAAAGGTCACAGTTCTGGGTCATTGAGTCCATCAAGCTGCTGGAGTTGTATGTCTTTACAGGGTGGAGACTTGGAGGAGTCTTAAACTGATGGTTAAACCAGATCTGTACTGCTGCATAGCAAAAAACAAAAACGCCATCATAAAGTTCCAGCTACATGAAATATCACCTCTCACCGAATGGAGAGGCACATGGCTTTACACAGTATAGATTTTCCACAGATATAGGTTCCAAGGACCATATGAAAGAAGCCTGGCAGAGCAGGGCATCACGGATATCCCCAGTGGGAATGATTTGGCAGAAGGACAAGATGGAGTGACACAGGGGGCCTGCATGTGTGCAGCAGAGAATGAACAGATGAAAAATCGTGCTGTTCTTTGTCCTAGACTGACTGTATTAACGAGATAAGGGGGAAGACAGAGAGGGAAAAAATACAAAAATAGATCAAATAATTTGATTGTGAAATGTTGCACTAATATTTCCCAGAATCTTACTTGAAGAGTAAGATATTGCTCAACCCACGGACATTACAGTATTCACCAGCCACAGCCTTAAAGCCACTGACAGGCAGCGTGACTGATATTGATCATCTCTTTACAATGCCATGTTGTGCGAGGAATCCTTGGTTCCTGGCATTCACGTAGATACACTTTGACACATTTAAACATTGTTGCAAGTTACGCACACATCCCCTTGGCAACAGCATCCTCCAATGAAAGCAAAAACTCCTCAGGAATGGCTCAAGGCCACGACAAATAGCCCAAGATGCAGACCCAGGCCTCTAAACTGCCCAGATCACAGTGTGATCAAGCATATACGAGATGCACTGCTGCAAGGCTGATCCACAGAGGTGCCACCCTGCAACCCACAGGGCCCAAAGGATCTGCTGCCAACAATCCAGTGCCAGACACCACAGGGCACCCCCAGAGGTCTTGTGTTCATGCCCCAATGTTTCAGAACTGTTTTGGCAGCAAGGAACTGGGGGTGGGAGGGGGAGACCTAGACAATTTTACAACGATGGTTTCAGCATTGTAGTGGATCATTGTAGTATATGTGATAAAGCAGTTCAACCTCAAGGTTAAACGTATGTGTTATTTGTCCTCAGTGGTCAAGAGGAGGCAATGATGGGTCAGCTTGTGGAGCACGGTCCTTTGGCTGCGATCGTGGATGCCGTCAGCTGGCAGGATTACCTGGGTGGCATCATCCAGCACCACTGCTCCAGCCGATGGTCGAACCACGCTGTCCTGATTGTCGGATACGACACTACTGGTACATGCTGCCACTCCACTTATGCAAGAGGGAAAAGGACTTTTATATTTAACTCGATCTAATATTCACTGTTGTAGGTCAATAAAGTTTTGTATTCCTAGGGACTGTGGAAGTAATTTAAAACTGCACTAGGCAAGATTTAAAGGTACTAAAAATATGCCTGTCCTAATCAGCCTTAATCACAAATTGCTGCTGCGACAGGAGTGTCAGCCCACCTAAGTGTTAAAACAAAGACAGACGGAGTGAAGAATATTAAGCAATTTAGTTCATGCTGATTCCCTAAAATTATGTCTAAATATATATTTATATCAAGTGAAATAACATAGTGAGGCTGTTTCACATGTTTCTTGTGACACTGAATTCATCTTCATTATATAATTTACCTAATAATGTGGTAATGTGTCTGATTCAAACTAACCTCTCTGGCAAAGTGAAGAATTGAAAGAATACCCAATTTAGTTTTTATTTCACCTTGTCCACCCTGTCTGTCCTGTTTCGTACACTGTGTCCAGAGCTCGAGATGGTAAACACAGTTTACACCATGTTCCAGAACTTCTGTTTATTCAGAAGGTGCATCGATTGTTGTGTCCCAGTTTTGAAACAAGAAATCAGTGTGTGAACGTGTTTAAAATTTAAGGGTGGACAATAGTTTTGTTATTAGTACGTGATATCAGTTATCGCGCAGTTTACTTCTTGACGTAGATTGTCCGCAGCGGTGTTTTATATTTCTTGCCATCAATTATTTCACACACACTTGTGTTTTCATGGTATTACACAAGGATATGGGTGATTATGTAACAGTCTGAAGTGGCCACAGCTGCAGTGCACACACACACAACCAGTGCCCCTCTACCCTGTTAATAATTCAATGTTGAAATGCATGTTGTCTGTCTTAGGGGATATTCCATACTGGATTGTGCAAAACTCCTGGGGAACGAGATGGGGGAACGAGGGTTATGTTTATATAAAAATCGGTGGCAACATCTGTGGTGAGTTTGAACTTTGCCTCGTGGCATTTTATACATATATACACACACATGTCCTGCTGTGTCCGGTATCCCCTCAGGGATTAATATTGCATCTCTCTTTTGTCCTCTCCTAGGTATTGCAGATTCTGTGGCAGCTGTTTTTCTTTGACAACACTACGTACATTTTTTTTGTCTGAGCCGTTCTATGTGGGTGTCAAGTGACACCAGTGCCAAAATTGAAATCATTCCTCTGTTTTAATTTAAGTTTCACTTTAAATAATGTTTTGTTGTAATAATGCAACCATTTTGTAAGACTGAAACAAAATAAATCGCCTCATATGTTGGAAAGTGTTGGATTATAACAGAACAATAAAACACCTACACACCACTGTCACAATACGAATAGTTTTACTGTACAAAATATGCATCGTATTATAATACACAAGGTAGATACATGTGGGTAATACGACTTGTACATTTATCAATACAGAGACACAATCATCACTGCATAAATACACAATACAATTGCATATATATACTGTATATAATACAATACAAAACATATCCATAACAGCGACATCACTAATAATATGTACAATTTTCTATGGTTCATATTTTGTAGTGTCACATTTATGCTTTGCAAATGGCTCCGTTGTAGATATTGACATTGACGTGACTGAGGTTTGCTGTCATTTTATGTATCTAAGCCACATCTCAGTAGTCGGAAACGGCTCCTGTTGTGACACCTTCCCCATGCTGACATGAAAGACAAAACCCTTCGTCACTATCAGCGTTGTCCCCGTGCGCAAGGTTTGATCACAGCTCTCACTGATCCATTTTCTGTCAGGTCAGTCTAAGTTAATTTATGCAATTTTTATTGAGAAAACATCCAAGCGGCTCTTATCAAGGAGCCATCTGCAGCACTGTGTGACTCACAGTCAAGATAAAAGCAAAATAGTCTAATATGGCTATTTGATTTATTTGTTGTCAGACATTGCATAACAGGCTCCGCAGCCCGACTTATTTGCTGCATTTTTGTTTCCTGTGTCTGCTAAACATTAGAATATACACACTTACTTATTATTTTACATTTGTTATGTTTCTGTATTTACATGCCAGAATACTAATACATCCTGAAATGCCATCAGGGAAAAAAACAAACAAAAAAAAAAGGTCTCTCCCTCGTGCATATTCGAGGGTTTTTCCTCTCTCTGTGTTATCTGTCAAACTAACATCATGTTTTTAACTGGTATAACACATCAAATTAAATTGTGCCCTGTTCCAAAAATGTCATCTTACTGTGTTTTTAAACTGTATCTTCATCACAGGGTTTGAGTAGAATAGGTTATATTTAAGACTGGCCTGATTAATGAGGAAATTCTTCTGTGCATAGACTTTTCGGATGCATCGGCTGGATGTCATGCATCAGATTGAAACATCAACAAAATGAGTTCCTTTGATGGCTTGCACTTCACCTACGCATCTGTCACTGAAACTTATCAGCTGTGCAAATGATCCACTTTGGTGTAATCCGTTACAGTGAAAGGAAGCCGGGGCGGATGACAGAGACGCGCTCTAGTCTGAGTCCTCGCTGCTGCAGTAGGAGCTGTCGCAGCACTCGGCCATGTAGAGGAAGGTGTGGACGTTGGGGTTCAGCTTGGGCACCCAGTGGCGAGGCACCAGGAATGTTGCCAGGTTGAACAGATCCACAAAGACTTTGTAGCGGTCACTAAATGGGGGAAAAAAAACCAGACAGATTTATGTAGTTTGTATACTAGAAGATCCATTTCAAAGTCTATTATCTGAGGAACAAAAGCTAACTTGAATTGCTGCTCACATTTCACCGTTTGTCACTTTGAAATTACTTTAACTAAATACATCGTCGAATATATTGTCACTCTGCATTTCAGGAGGAAGTGACCGGTGTGACAGGTCAATTTAGATAAGCAGAGGAGCACTGTCCTGGCCTTATCTAAATTGACTCTGAAGTGTTTGCAGTGTAAAGTGCATAATCACAGGATTAAAGTTAAAGTTTACATGACACAGTACCTGACAGTGGATCTCAGGTAGTGGTAGCCAGATGAGCCCCCGGTGCCAGCTTTGCTGCCAATCATACGATGCACCATGCACACGTGGTTGTCTATAAAAAAAAGATAAGACAGAAATATCCATTGTGATACGAGCAGTGCTTTGGCTCTGCATGTTTCATTTGGGCTATAAACTCTTTTGACATAAGTCAGGAATAAGTCAGTTTTATTTCATGGGAATAGGTTGGATTGATGAGCAGGCGTAGAAGATGTTAAAAGATTCCTCTGCCTCTTGGGTTGTAACCTAACTTTAGAGTTTAGTAACTTTGTTAACTCCCTTGTTAGTCCAGCTTTGCCCTTAGGCAAAATATGAAAGCACTGGTTTCTACTAAAAATTTGCTTTTTTTTCTTCCCAACTTTTCCTTCTCTGCTCTGCTTTTTTTTTGCTCTGAGTATATGCAGCTACTGATAGAGATACTACAATACTTACATCTCCATTTTGTCATGAGAGTGTCAATATCCATGAGGGATGTGAGCAGCTGGAAGGGAACCTGAAACCTCGGCTCTTCCCTTCAAGGTAGGAGAAAAAGGAAATGTATGAAAATCTCTTTGACTGATGTTCATAGAAGTTGTAAAATTAGAGCAGCTGTCTCCTGTTCACAACCGAGCTAACATCTTAAACCCAGTAGTTTTGGATTAATTATCACCTTCCAGTCGCTGTGTGATGATTGGGTCGACTCTCGTGTAGCTTTAATGAGTCTCATGTGACATTGTGTCCTCACTACACAGGCTACCACACCTTTCGGTAAAACTGACAGACATTCTGAGCTTCTAAAAACCACACAGAGTGGTAGTGTTTTACAACTGCTTCAGGTGTCACATGACCCACATGGCTGACAGGGTTTTAGAAAAAAAAAAAAAAAAAAGAAGGCTTGTGATATGGAAATTTTATGTGGATAGAATAAATGAACAGCCCTGCCTTAGGAACTAGCGCTGAGGTGTTCTTAAGCAAGATGTCCCACTGAAGCTGTGTGCAGCATCTCAGGTGTAAAAATGTGTGAATAGGAAACAAATGTAAAAGATACAGTCCCAGCAGAGTTCCACTACATAATTAAAGGTGAAGAAACACTAAAAACTACACATACCTGTAGAAATAGATCATCAGAGCACCTTGCAGAGCCTTGTAAGAGAGCCGCCTCTCACCTTGTTAACAAAAGAGGAAGTATATTACTTTCAAAGGTAAATGGTTTGTCTATTCTGTGTGGTTTTGTGAGCTGGAGTTTAAATGTTAAGGTCCAAGAAGTAATACATCTGACACAACTCTTAATTAAACGCAGGCCGTAGACAAGTATAATGAAGCCTTGACGATTATTACATCTGATTAAACGCTTACCTTTGCTGATGAGGTGGTCGTGACGCTTCTCATCAAACAGGGATGTGAAGATCTCTCTCTGTTTGACCAGCTCAGCCATCAGTTCCTCCTTCTCTTCAGAATCTGGCATTTTCTTTAAAAAAAAAAAAAGGGAAAAAAAAGAAAGAAAAATACCCTTAAATAAAAATACACTCTGTCAATCATCTTAGCACTCAAGGGAAAGCAGCAAAAGTTTGTTCTGAAAGCTGGAGTCATCTCTTACTTCAATTTTCTCCTTCTCCTGATTCAGCCCATCAAATATATTGATTTGCAGCCTTTCCCAGAAATTGAATCCATCCACCTCCAAACCAGGAGTTCTCTCCAGCCACTCCTGAAAGAACATCCCAAGGTTTTATCACATTTATATCCGGAGCAGATGAGCGTATCCAAAGAAAGATAGAACAAAACAGAAATTTAGATATATATACTATCTGTAATTAACTCTGTAAGACAAACCTCAACCAGCTTCAGGAGGGTCGGCTCCTGTTCAGTGGCGAGCAGCATCTCACTGTCAGATCCTTTGAAATTATCTCTGTAGTGGCGTCTGTTGTATGGAACCCTCAGGTTGTCTGGGACCCCGATTTTGTTCTCCAAGAGCCGAAACTGAAGGCTTTGGAAGCCGGAGGCTGGAGCGAGATATTCCCTTCACACACAAACACAAGTGAGCGTAAATGCACACAACCCAGCCAAAGCGCACCATCACCAAGGAGTGCATCTTATAAAACTTTTAGAGCTCAAAAGATAGCCAAAAGTTATTTATATGTTTACCTAAAGTCAAAAAAGTCCAAGGCTGTCATTGTTTCCAAAACGGCAAACTGGTCGACTAGCAGTCTGAAGATCATTACGATCCTGTGGATGCGGGTGTTGACCTTGAGCATGTTGCGTTCATCTCGGACCTTGAGGAATAGCAAATGTAAGGAAATCATTAACATAATTAAAGCTTCAAAGCACATCATTGCACAGGAAAACAGTGCAGTTACTGAGTCAGTTGATATTTTGCATCACTATTTCCTCAACCTAGTGTGCTCCCAGAGGGAATAAAAGAAACTAATACATTACAGCTGTGCCTCTACTTTCAATTCAGAACATCAGCCTGAGTGATGAACACATTTTCATTTTTTTTCTCCCCTGACTGAACGCCAAAGCCAGAATGACTATTGAATATAGCTTCATTTTGAACAGAAAGATCTATCATCATTTTCACTGATGATTTTGTACTCCTCAGTTCGTTTAAATTATTCTGCTTGATTTTACATTTGAAGCAACGTTCAACCCCTAACGCTGACAGTTTACATCTAAAAGCTCTGGATTTAGGGATACCAAACATTTTCCCTCCTTACAATTACATGTCAGATGTATTCTTGAAAGTTTAAAAGATTGTTTTTGGTAAATATGATTCATGTCAAGTTGCTTTTTTGTGTTTTTGAACAAGGCAAAATGAACATTATGGAAGTTTCTGCCACCACAGATGTGTGACTCACATGTCCGCTGATGAAGATCTCTCGCACTGAATCAAGTTCAAACAAAATCTGTTTGAACCACAGTTCATAGGCTGAAATAGAACAAAAAAGGTTTAAGCATTTTGGTATCATTACATTACAAGTTAGACTATCTATCTATCTATCTATCTATCTATCTATCTATCTATCTATCTATCTATCTATCTATCTATCTATCTATCTATCTATCTATCTATTTATCCACCAATTTAATTTAATTAACTCTGAAATCACTTAATGTTAAAGACTGGATGCAAGAACAAAAGCAGCAGTTTTATTTCTGTGAGACAAAGACAAAAAAAGGCTCAAACGATATGAAGCTAAATTTACCTTGATGGGTGACGATGAAGAGATGCTCATCGTGGATCTTGTTCCCTTTTAGTTCACTCTGCAGCACCTGAGCTGACACTACTTTGTCAAGCTGGGGGTTGGAAAGAAAGAAACCATTGACTTAAAAACTTGAATTTTAACAACAAATGCAAATCCCAGTACTTATCTTTCTATTTAAAAAGCCACAAAGATGGCTACATGAGATAGGTGGTGTTCTCTACCTGCAGGTAGTCTCCATAGATGATTCCTCCTTTACTGGCTTTGTTAACCCCTGCCTGAGAGGCATCCTCATCCTCCTCTGTTTTGGGAGGTTTATTTTTGAATAACCTGCAGTGCGAAGAGAGAGAAAGCCTTTAGTTACTTGGTGTTTTCCCGTCATCAGGATAAACTATGCGCTGTACCAGGTCTGCATTTAATGAATGTGAAAAATGAAATAAGAACAGGAGGAAAAAAAACAATCCCTGAGAATTATAGTTTAGACGTGACGACAACTTGAACGTACAAATGCCTCTTCTCAAAATACGGACATCCACTCATGGCTTTATCCAAATCAGTTGCAGCAGAGATGTAATCTTGTTCCTCGACTATTGTTTACTAAAATTGTCGTCAGCACAATACAGGGTTTTTAAAGATTTATCTTGTCCAATCAGTCACGAGCAAATACTCACCATCCGGCCCGCCTCTATTTGTTCCACAAAGTCGTTGTTTATCTTTACCCAGGACTACCTTCTGGACTTTGTGTGACCTGCTCTAAGAACGGTCACAAGGCCTTTTCAAATAATAGAAATGGGAATAAACAAAACTACAAAACCAGACACTAACACATATTACTTTTCTGCAAATTGGCAAATTATTACCAATATCAGATCCTCAGTATGTGAAGATTTGAAACGTGTAATGAGTCACTTGGGACCTTTGTTCCAATAGAACAGAGTAATCAGAACATCTCTGTTTGTATTCTGCTGTCTCAGTCACAGTGTTTACACTCCTGGGTTTGATGTATATGCTGTATGTAAAACATCGAACCTGGTTACATAAGTGTCTCCCTGAGACCAGTGGACTCTTTGCACAGTAGCATCACAGATTAGCTAACAGACTGACTAACAACACTGATATGGCCTTATCTTCTCTTTCTTTTTTTTCTCCAACTTTTCCCCTAAATTAAGTTCATCTATCTATCTATCTATCTATCTATCTATCTATCTATCTATCTATCTATCTATCTATCTATCTATCTATCTATCTATCTATCTATCTATCTANTCTATCTATCTATCTATCTATCTATCTATCTATCTATCTATCTATCTATCTATCTATCTATCTATCTATCTATCTATCTATCTATCTATCTATATGTGTGTGTGTGTGTATGGATGAGAGGTTTGATGCACTAAAAACACACAATTATTATTTTAGAATTGTTGTCATGTAGTTATGTTATATTAGTGTTAACTGTCTGTATTATCTGATTTTTTATTTATCTATTTTAATTTCACCAAAAATCTCATTCAGCATTCGTCATTGGCTACAGAAACATAAACACGATATTTAAGTCATTGTATGTGAAAGTATTCAGGAACGTATCCTCGTGCTTTCTGGAAATCACTGCATAGGTCACTGGACTTATCTGTAAATATTTGCAGTGGGTTAATATTTTATTTACCTCAGTGAACATCATTAGGGATGTGTGGTTTCAAGGTAACCCGGAGTGTACGGACTGTACACAATGTAATCTTAAATACTTTGCTGTGTTGTTTTTCCCTGTAAACTGGACAAATGCGATGTACGTACCTCCAGAGCTGGAGGGCGTTGCTGTCCGTGGCTTGTTGAAAGCGGAACATGTTGTCGTTAGGCCTCTAATTTCACCTGTCACACACATGCGACCATGGGAGCTATTTGTTTCTCTTTGCAATTGGCAAGGTCTGTTGAAAATAATGACCGGCACGGTGCTCGATGGCCGATACCAAAAGGCAAAGTCTTTTCAAAACAACAGTTAACCCAGTTTCATCAGTGTTAAACTCTGAATCCACTCCCTATAAATCTCTCCCACATCATTAGCTTGCTTGTTTTTTTCACCCACACCTTTTCTGAACTTATCAAGTAGAGTCCCATCAGTGTGTGCAACGGTCCTCAGAAGATCAGAGGGATGATAACAAGCAGCTATTTCTGAATTGGGACATGGTACAAGCCCAGCATTATAAGGCTGCGGACTGAACAAGGAGAGCAGAGGCAGCCCCCAAATGCTTTGTTCTTGTTCCCATTTGGCTGCGATGAATAGGATGCTAGTGGAGAGCGGGTACAGTGGCCGACATGCTTAAGACGACACGAGACTATGGCAGTCGACTTTCGAAGCCTTAACAAACCTGTCCATCTCATCGACAGGACGCACGTGTCATCATGGCTTATCTCCAAGGTCTGTGTGAGTCACTGATTAAAAGAAAACAGGGATATGGCCTGTTTTTTATTTCCGAGAGTTGTGTAAAACCCCACATGAAAGTCGAACTGTTTTCCTCAGTCCAAGTCCTTGAACTGTGTCGTTACAGTTTCCTGATGCAACTGTATTTTTTATTTATTTTTTTAAATCAAGGGTCAGCGTGGCCATTAGCTGTGGCTACGTCTCTACATGAATTTCAATCAGACTTTTTGTACTCTTAGACCATCATCCTGAACAAAATCATTATATTTCTGACTGAAGTGTTTTAAAAACAAACATTAACAGTAAGAATCTTCTGGTGTCCGAGCCCCCCTGTTAGGTGGATTATTATTATTTTATTATTAAATACTGTCATAATTTGACAGTTTTTGAAATATGATGATCATTACATTATTATTAGATGTTTTGAGTTCAAAAAATACTTACAGAATCTGATGTACAGATGTGATTAAAAGAAGTGAAATATAATTGTTTTGAGTTTGACCCTCATCTGGAATGACAAAACTGTGTGTTGTCCACAAGTATAATGTCAATAAAGAGTTTAATAGGTAAAAGGTAGCCAGCAAGAGTCCCTAACTATAGATCTACATCATGGGAGTTTTGTGTAAATATTAACAGTTTAGGCATTTAGATACAGACGACTGACACTCCATCATGTACGGTGATCGCAAAACTGCAGTGAATTTTGATTAGTTGCATGTATATGAAGTTTTAAGAACTCTGTGTAAAAATGTAAGGCCAAATCACAAGGTGTTTTGTTGTTTTTTGTCCACAAGAAATCAGAATTAATGTGAGAACATGTTTTAAATAATTATTGAAGCAGACAGAGCCCATCACCTCTATGTACATTTGCACATAGGAACAGTCAAAACAACTTGGATGCTTCTTCATGCATTTACTTTTGAAAACCCTACGAAGAAAAGGTTAAAATAATTTCATATTTGGTTTCTGTGACACTATGAAATTATTATTATTATTATTATTATTTTTATCTCGACAGGTCCACCAGTTATCAGCTGAAGGGTGAGTAAAAGCAATAATGAAATCACATTGTGTGCTTCTGTGCTCGGCAGAACAAAAAAAAATT